CCTCCCCTACAAAGCAATGTCTTCATTGGATGGATCAACATCAACATTGTGCTGGGGGTGGGGAGGTGGAAGTGGACAGAAGGACCATGTGCTGGCAAAAATGCAAAGTGTCCCAAGACATTTGGTCAGGATTGTAGATCAGAGTGGAGCTAAAATACATAATTGTCTAAAGCAACTGAGCATTTATACAGTGCTGCATGCAAAGTTATTAGTTTGCCTGTTTTGTGATTCTGATCATATTGTGGTTTTGACCACCTCCCAGCTGCTCCACTGTTTTTACCCCAGCATGACAAAGTGCATGCATCTGAATTTTCCAAGTACACTATACTTTAAAAGTGCTAGAGCTACATGTAGTAACATATGAGATCTCTGTGACATCAACAGTGGTGGCCACCCTTACCTGACTGGTTTAGCTGTTGCTGGAGGAATCTACTGTGTTGGACTTGAAGGTGCCATTATTGGTCCAATAGTGCTATGCTGTCTGATAGTGGCATGTAATGTGTACAGTAGCATGCTGGGTGACAGCAGCCCTGTACCACCTGATGTGGAGACAATGCAGACAAATAATATGCAAGCAAGCATGGGAGAATCGCAACTTAAGGGCGATGAAGATGGAAGGGCTAAAGTGCTGTCGGTGTCTTAAGATCAGCCAGAACTATCAAGGAAAGAATAATGCATGTTGTAAAAGCTGTTACCCTAAGAATACTAATTTTGCAGCTTGAACTTTTGTCAGCCTTGTTGACGATTTCCTGCCCCAACAAACTTCACTGGTATTTTTTAGAGCATCATGCAATACAAGGTTTATCTCATAGATAAATGTTGCATGTATTGAGTGCAAATGTTTCCCATGTGTGCCAGTTAACTACACTAGAGAGCCCTTTGCATTCAATCCAGCTGACAAATGTTTAGAATTGCATATTTATTGATAGTGCTTTTTCTGCGTTTTGGTCAAATTTCCACACTTACTCTCGCGTTACACAGAAGTGCCTTTGTATTTGCAAAACAGAATGTCGTATGATAGGAAACAGTGAAGGAAAAAACATGTAAGGCATGCATGCCCTCATTTGTTTTCTTGATATTATTATTGACTTGTGGAGAGAAATGTCACATCAATTTAAAAAGAAATTTTATGTCAATTAAATAAACAACAGATTAATATATATCAATTTATTTGAATTCACGA